CTCAGTGTCTTTCTGCCCTAATTACTGATATCTTGACCAGCCTTACACTCTATTGCTTAAACGTCAAGTATCATTTTAGCTGTAGCTTTCATAAAAACATAAATTTGCCACTTGGTTCATGCTTTCAGTTGAGACAAAAATGAAGTGTTTTGAACATTTGCATGAGTTAACTATTAACAATAGTTATAAGTACTCATTTATCTTAATATCAAGGCCATTGAACCTTATTGTAAATTTCTCAATATGTGTATGGTAAAAATAAAATAGGAAGTATACCTATTTTACATACAAATTGAGCGAGAAGCTTTTAAAGATAGAAATCATTTAAGATATGACTATAGTATTTGATTTCTCAAGAGTCAGAAATAAAGACCTCAGTTAAACAAAATGTTCATGTCAAATAATTTTTTTCTACTGAAACGTTTTAAATTGGAAATGGGCCAAAACATTTTTATCCATTTTATCCCACATTCCAAAATACAGCAAAGCATTACTATCTAAATCAGAATTACTTTATTTTGAATAATTATTTTTATCTTTTTCAATTCAGAAACACTTTCACCAAGTAGTAATGGCCCTAATCTGAGCAAAACTTACTTTTACATTTATCATATTTCAGGTTTCTAACTTTGTTCTAGATTGAGATCAAATATAATGTGTTATTTTATTTTTAGGAGAAAAGTCAAAAGATGCAAATAAAAAGATACAACTTGACTTCAGACATAGGTTATTTCATTTTATTAAACTCCTCAACAAGTAATACCTCTGAATTAGGTTAATGTTCTCTTTACTGTGAGCTTCTCTTTTTCATTTACCACGGACTTGTTTAAAGTAAAAGCTATTTCATGATTAGATTTAAAATAGATTTCTGTAATCTAGTTCTCAGTAGTGATTTGATAAATTTAGTCAATAAAATTGAACTTTGAACATTTCAAGGTCAGAGAATGCTTAATGAAAGAAGAGAGTCTGATATTTATTTTTGCTTCCCTCTGGATAACTGCATCTCTTTTTTCTCTGTAGCTTCACTTGAGGTCAATAGCAATTCATGCCAAGTGAACCCAACTGTCGATGTTCATTTTGTTCTTAGTAGCTCTTCTTCATCACAAACAACCATATTAAGAAGACTTGGCAGTTAGCCTTTACTCATAAAGCTAATGCTACAGTCCTTTTATATGTGCCAATAAAGATAAACTTGAATGCTAATAGTGAATAATCAGAGACAAGACTACCAAGCGAACTTAGACCCATGGGGAGCAGAGGGATAAAACCCTTTACCCACATAGTCTTCCTGCTTCTCATTATGAGTCATGGTCTTAAGTTGACCTTAGATTTCTCCCTGGTAGGACTGTCCAAAATCAAGCTAAATCTTATCCTTCTGCAATTAAAAAAAAATCCCAATTCCGGGCCAGCCCGGTGGCTCACTGGAGAGTGCGCCACTTGGGAGCGCGGCGGTGCTCCCACCGAGGGTTCGGATCCCACGTGGAGACCGGTTCCCGC